CCTTGAACCATGGCTGGCTAGCACCTTAACAACCACACCATCTGCGGGTCCTGCCACTTATATTTTCAAAAAATTCCCACCAGTGATCTTGCTGCATTGTTAGAATGAAGAATCACTGACATATTTGCCAACTTTTTTTTTTTCTAGTCTCACAAGTAGTTTTAAGAGACACTACCAACACTAATATCATTATCGATTTTTGTTGTTAATTTGTTAAGAGCCTTTTCTTTTTTTTTTTTTTGAGAGATTTTTGCTATAGAGTGTGTGCACTCGCCAGACAGAGAGAGACAGAGAGATAGAAAGTGAGAAATCACCCCCCAGGGTGGATGGCCACACTGCAATCCCTTCTCCTCCATTCTCCTCTCGGGATCTTGGGCACGTACACACATGCGCCCGGCGTGAGTTTAAGCCACTGGGTCCAGGACGCGAACTGCGGTCGACTACGTGGGAGTCCAGCGACATAGCCATTATTCTAACTGCTGGTCCCAAGAGCCTTTTCCAGTATCATTTCTCTCTTTTTATTATGACAGAGGGTGTGTGTGTGTATGTGTGTGTGTGTGTGTGGGGTGTGTGTGTGTGTGTGTGTGTATGAGCAGGAGAGAACGTGTGTATGTACCCCTACAGGGGTGGTCACACTGCAGTCCTCTGTCTTCCCATTCTCTGTCCACTTGGGACCCCAGGCACGCCCAACATGTAAGCGGGGCTGGGGCTCGAACCTTGGCACACCATGTGGGATCTGGCTCCTCCACACAGCACTGACGTGTGGGCCAGCCAGCTCTGTCCTTCTGTTCCTCTGTGCCTGCTGCCTTCTGGCCTGACTTCTCTCCTCCCCTCCCTGCTCAGGCCTGAGGTTCCTGTCCCTGGACCTCTGGGAGGTCACAGAGCCTCAACCTTGGGGCCTGCAGGTGTCTGACCTCTGGGAGCAGCTGCTGGCTTGTGCTGGGTAGAAGTCTCTTCCTGCGGTGAGACCTGTGTCCAGGGGTGGAGGGAGGAGGGTGGGGGTAGCCGGGCGTTCCCATTCCACCCATGGGTCCTGGTTTGGCCACGCGCTGTTACAGGCTGGGTGAGGGGAGCACAGGGGTCTTGCCCATTGCCCGCTTGCTCACGAGCTCACCCCCCCACGGCCATCTGCATCTCCTGTGTCATTGTGGTGATGAGGCGAGGGTGAGTGTTAGGAACTGCCCTGCCTGCCCTGCAGACAGCCTGGGAGACGCCCTTCCTGGGCCCTGCTTTGCAGAGTGGTCTGCGCCTGAGCTGTCAGCCCCTCCCTGGGTCTTACCAGGTCACGTGATCCCTCCCGACACCATCCTGCCCCTGGTCATCTGCAGCGGGCCCTGCAGCCAGTCCCTGGAGTTCAGGTACAGTACAGTCTAGCCTCAGGTCAGTAGTGGCTGTGGCTGGGCAGAGGCGGCCGGGCAACCCGCCCAGCTGCACAGGAGCGGGGTGCCCAGGTATGGATCAGGGAGGGTTCCCTGCCCAGGCACCCCTTCTGGACAAAGCACTGGGAGTTCTGCCCATCCCTGCAGTCTTGTGGGCCCTGCCTTGGGGAGGGGGCAGGGAGCAGGTCTCGGGCACACCTCTGCTGGAGACCCGGGTGACCAATTTGGCTCCTCAGGCTGCAGGGGCTGGCGAGGGCTGACGGCTGTGTTGTCCCTGAGGTGCACTGTGATGGCTCGTCACAGGGTGTCCCTAGTCCTTTCTGGGGTCGGGGGACCCATCCCACTCTGATTCCCACCCTGGCAGCCCCTTGGCCCGAGTCCTCTCTGTCACGCATGGCCCCTGCCCTTGGTTTTGGGCCCCAAGGTCAGGAAGTCGTTTGGGGGTGGCTTTGGGGGCTGCTCCACGGGGTTCCTTGACCTCCTCAGATGGACAGGAGGGCCACATCCTCTGTAACCTGTGTGGAGTGGTCCCAGGTGTGGTCTGCTTCTTCCCCTCCTACGAGTACCAGCGCCAGGTCCACGCCCACTGGGACAAGAGCAGCCTGCTGGCCCGCCTGGCCATCAGGAAAAAAGTGAGTGGCCCGTCGGTGGGGTCTCCTCGGAGCTCCTCCCCCACCATGATGGCCTGAGCCCTGCCCAGAGGAACCCCCAGAGGCCAAGGCCCTGAGGTTCCTGAGTCCCCACTGCAGAGCGCAAGGGCGGGGGCAGGGTGAGTGTCGGTGCTCTGGAACCTGCTCTGGGATACCCTGCCTCCCTCCAGATCTTCCAGGAGCCCCGGAGAGACATCCAGGTGGAGCAGGTGCTGGCGTAGTACTCCAGGGGCATCAGGGTGAGGGGTACCTCCGGGGCGTGGGCTCAGGGACCTGGTGGGCTTGGCGGCTGCCGGAGCTGGGGCGTCAGTGCTGGCCCTCAGCGGGGCTGGATGTCTCCTGCAGAGCTGTGGCCAGGCGGGAGCCGCGGTGACAGGGGCCCTGCTCCTCTCGGTGGTTGGCGGCAAGGTGAGCGAAGGGATCAACTTTTCTGACGACCTAGGCTGGTAGGTAGGGGACCCTCATCTGGGCTGTGCTGCCCACCACCCCGTGCCCCGGGCAGCAGGGCCCCACCTGCCACCTGGTGCAGCCAGGTCTACTCCCAGGCCAACTGGTGTGGGCCGGCCAGCTGGGGAGGGGTCAGCAGCCCTGGTGTTGGCTCTTTGAGAGGCCGTGGGAAAGGAGGCAGGCCGTGACTGGACCAGACAGACCCCAGTGACTGGCCTAGGCTGGATCACCTGGCTGGAAAGCACCTTCTCAGTGGCAGGTGCAGGGGGAGGGCCAAGAGAGGAAGGGGTGGGAAGAGCAGGTGGCGATGGGCGACGTTGGGAGGACTCGTGTCCCGCCCAGGCATGTGGTGATGGTGGGCATGCCCTCCCCCAGTGTGCGGTCTCCGGAGCTGCAGGAGAGGATGGCCTACGTGGACCAGACCCTGGGGAGTGCCCCGGATGGGAGTGACTTCCCCATGGAGCTGGCAGAGGTCTGGATGCGGCTCCTGCTCCCTCTCCATGTCACACCTGGTACGTCAGCACTGTCCTGTTTCCTGCCTCCTGGCGCTCGTACGGCTCCCCCGGCCCGCCCCCCCCCTCATCTGCTCCCCCCGCCTCGGTCCCAGCCCCCTCTCCTGCAGCCTGCCCCCTCACCTTCGGGTACCGCCCTGAAGCCACCTGGTCTTACTCTTAAGCCTAGACTAGATCTGTCCCAGGGAGTGTGGGATCATGGTGTCCTCCCCTCCCCAGCCCAGAACCCCCGGCCCGGTGCCCCCGGGAAGGCCCTGGTGGAGAACCTGTGTATGAAGGCCGTCAACCCCCGTCAACCAGTCCATAGGTGAGCCAGGTGCCCGCCTGTCAGGACGGAGGGCAGGGGCGGGAGGCTGTGGAGCTGTTCTAAGTCAGGGCAGGTTTAACCGGAGCCTGACCTGCTTCCATCCAGGCAGGGCCGTGGGGCACCAGGGGGATTTCGCCAGCACAGTGCTCCTGGACCAGCGCTACGCCCGCCCGGCTGTCCTGGCAAAGCTGCCCGGCTGGATCTGAGATCGCGTGCAGGTCAAGGCCACCTTTGGTCCTGCCTTTGCTGCTTTGCGGAAGGTCAGCCTTGCTTTCGCCCTCCTGCGCCCCCACGCCCACCCTAGCGTGGCTCCTCACTGCCTCTGTGTCTCCCCAGTTTCATCAGAGAAGTCAGGCGCCTGCTGAGGGGTGGCTGCACGGCCATCTGCTACCAGGCTCTTCCTACACTGCCCACGGGAGACAGTGTGGGTCTCGGCCTGGTCTGCAGGGTCCTGTGAAGGTGGAGCCCCGTGGAGGGTGTCGGTCCAGACCCTCCAAGAACCAGCGGCTGATGGGATCAGGCAGAGACAGGAAAGGCAGTCGAATGCCAGGTTAGCCCTGGAGCCGTCTCTGGATCGCTCTTCCTTCCCACGCGGCACAGCGTAGACTCCACCCCCGATCTCTGTCCTGCCTGTGTCCTCCAGACCCGCCTTTGCAGAGCGGGGGCAGGGACAGGCTGGCCAGCCTCTGCCCTTTCAGGCCAGCATTGCTCTAGATCTCTCACCCTCTCACCCAAACCCGACATCATCCTGTTTCTGGGCCCTGGTGCTCAGAGCACTGCTCTCCGGGGCTTCCTGTCATTCCCCCCCCCCATCCAGCCCCTCTCCTGCAGCCTGCTCCCTCACCTCCGCACAGCCCTCCAGGATTCTCACCTCCCTGGCCCAGCTCCAGCTCCTCCCTCAGCCAGGTGAGCCAAGGCACCCAGGACACCAGCAGTTAGGACCCCACGGCTCACAGCATGCCTATTTTTAGAGACCACGTATCTGGGGCCGTTTCCGTGGGAAAGTGCGCCCTTTGCGACAGCTGGCCCTGCGTGGCACCTCTCCTCTGACCAGAGGGGCCTCGGTTCACCAGACGCTCTGCCCACTGCCCAGGGCCCACGGGCAGGCCCGTCCCCCCCGGGCATGGCAGCCAGCCCTGGATTAAA